ATTAAGTATTAGTTTTTAATAGTAATAGCATTTAGTCCTTAGTAGTTAACGCAGAATTAAAGCCTACTTTTAAGTTTTTTTATAAATAGTATAAGTAACACTACTAGTAAGAAGCTAGCTTAAATAAACTTTTTTTTTAAGTTTTTATTAAAGTATTTTTAAAGCACTTTTAATTTATTTAGTAACATCTTATATAGTAGCCTATAACTAGGTTGTTTACTAGGCTTAAAGGTTATTTAGTAATTATATAAATGTTATATTAAAAGCTTATTAAACTTATCTTAAAAAAAGACATATAATAAGTTATAGTAGTCTTAAAAGACTATTATTTTTAGGTTAGTACTTTTTTAGAAAGCTAGAGCTTAGTCTATATTAGAAATTATAACTACATAGATTTTATAATCTAGTTATTAAGCTAGGGTTATAAATAGAGTAGGTTTTATATAGCAGATGTCTATCTGCTGTTTAAGTCCTAGTTTATGTCTAAATTAAGTAAGTAAAAATTTCTTAAAGGCTTTTTTTTCTTTAAGTTTAAGCAGTTATTAAATTATTTTATATAGCCTATTTTAGTAAAAGGCCTAGCTTATTAGCCTTACTTAGGTAGTTTTTTTCTAAGTTATTAGAAAGTAGGTCTAGAAACCTTTTATATTAAGTGCTACTTAAGTATTATTTAGGTGTAAGCATAAGTATACATTTTAGCATTAAAAAAAGTTAAAGTTTAGAACTTACTTTTAGTAATTAAAAGCAACTTTATGCTAATATAGCTATAGTTATTCTAGAATTAAGTTATAATATTTTATGTTTATTACATAGAGCTTAATCTGCTTTTTATAGTGTTAGTAAGTAATTATAATAGTTATAGTATAAAAAATAAAACTTTTTTTAAGTTATTTTTTATTAAATCTAGTTAAGTAAATTATTTAGGTAAGTAGTGTTAATTAGAGATTTAGTTTACACATTAGTTTTTTATTAATGTAACTTATGCTATTTACTTTAAAGTTAATAAAAGCTTATATTAGAGCTAATATAGTTTTTTATTATAAATATATAAGAATATTAACTTAGTACTTCTAGTTATTAGTAGGGGACTTAGCCTATAAGTTAGCAAAGATCTAGTGTTAAATTAGTCCTAGAGGGCAACTTAGCCCTAGAATAAGCCTTTTTACAGGCTTCTACTACTATAGCTGTAGCTGTGTTAAAAGTAGTAAGAAAGATTAAAGCTTAAATATAAGTTAAAGCCCTTACAGAAATAAGATTAAAATAGTAAAAATTTTTAATAAGTGCTAGCAGCACTACTTATGTAGACTTAAGAAAAAAAAATAAAGTAGTTTTAAAAAATATAACTATGCTTACTACACTT